GCCCTCCACCCCTTCACAGCTCTCCCCCCCTCCAATGCCCTTCCCACCCCCTTCACAGCTCTCCCCCTCCCCCTTCCCCCTTCACAGCCTCCCCCCCCTCACAGCCTCTCTCCCCCTCCTATTTCCTTCCCCCCTCTAAGCCCTTCCCACCCCTTCACAGCCCTCTCCCACTCCCATGCCCCTTCCCACCCCCTTCACAGCCCTCACGTGCGAGCCATCCGTCTCGGCGACTCCCTCGGCCGCGCTATCTCTCCCGCCTCGGCCACGGGACCAATCTCTTAACTATATATCAGGTGTCAAACGTCCTGCTCACCGTCACCCGGACTCTTTGCTTTCAGTCATTCTCTCATTTTTCTTCTTCTCCTCCTCTCACCCCCTCCTCCTACTCTATCTCCTTCCTCCTCCTCCTCCTCCTCCCCTTTCTCTTCTTCTTCTCCTTCACATTCACCTTCTCCTCTCTCTCTCTCTCTCTCTCTCTCTCTCTCTCTCTCTCTCTCTCTCTCTCTCTCTTCTCTCTCTCTCTCTCTCTCTCTCTCTCTCTCTCTCTCTCTCTCTCTCTCTCTCTCTCTTCCTATTCCGACACTGTCTCGCATTTTCCATTCTTTATTTTCCTGCACGTGTATTCATTCACCTGTCTATCTTTCCCCTTTTTCCTTACTCTTCCTTTTCCATCCTCTTTTATAACTTCCTTCCCTCATTTCCCCTCCCCCCTCCTTCCCCCAACCTCCGCGACCAAATTCCTGGAATGTCTCCTGCAGGATCCCCAGGCCCAGGGGAGAGAGACACCCGCGCCCTCCGTCAGGTAGCCCGCCCGACCCCGCAGGCGCAGGCCCACTCGAAGGGCACGCTGACGGACGACCTGTGACAATAGGATCTTCCGAGAAAGAATGAAAAAGGTTAATGAGGGCTTTATAAACCCCGAGTGGCGTCACCCTCCCCCCTCCCTCCCTGTCCACCCCCCTCCCCTTTTTTCCACCCCTTCTTCTGAGACCCCGACCCCTTCCTTCCTCCCCTACCCATTCTTTAGCTTCCCCTTGCCCCTGAGACGCGCGCCTCCCTATCCCTTTTCCGTCACTCTATCCCCTGAGGCCGCGGGAGGGGGCGGGCGCCGGCCGACGCTCTCTCGCTTCTCTCGCTTTTCTGCTTTTCCAGCATTGCAGCCGGATTTTCCGTTTTTTATACCAAGCTGAATCATTACTTGTATTATTTACACCAGTATTACTATAGTCATCATTATCATTATTACCATCATCATTATTACTACCATCATCATTATTATCATTGTTATCATTATCATTATCATTATTATTATTATTATCATCATCATCAGTCAATATAATTTTCGAAATCAGTATCGACATTATCATCATTATCATTTGCATCATATCTATTACTAATATCATCATCATTACTATTATGATAATGCAAATATCATCGTCATACTCATCCGTAATCTTATCAGCACATCGATCAATATAATTTTCATCATCATTGAAATTTCTATAATCATCAACAGCATCATTACTTTCTCAGCCATTAATATCAAAATTCTCTCCCCCTCTGCCCTATTCGCACAACAGCTAAGCTCGTCTTTCCTTATTCGCACAATTCATAATTCTCTTTCCTCGTCCCTCAGTCTCTATCGGTTCGTCTGACGTTTTAATCACACTGCTCCTCTTCCTACTTGTCGCCTCCCACAGACGGATAACACATCTTTAAAAAAAATCTATAACTTTTCAACTGTCTGCCTTGTCTCTCTCTCTCCTTCGTTCTCTGACTCTTTCTTTCTCTCTTTCTCGTTTTCTGGCTCTTTCTATTATCTTATCTTCTCTCCTCTCTCTCTTCTTCTTTCTTTCTTTTTTCTCTCTTTCCCTTTCCCTTTCCTTTTTCCTTTCCCCTCCCGTTTCCTCTTCCTCTTCCTTCTCCTTTTCCTCACCCTTTTCCTCTTCAACTTCCAATTCCATTTCCACTTCCCCTCCCTCTCCCGCTCCCTCTACTTTTCCCCCTCCTCTCCCTCCCACCCCTCCCTCCCTCCCCAAACTCCCGCTCTTTATTTGTATTTTCTCTCTCTCTCTCCCTCCCTTTCCCTCGCTCTTAATTCACCCTCACGACGCGCTCGACTCTCCAACGAGCTGAATACCTTAAAGGATGCCTCGCCTCTCATTTTATTTTCTTACAGGTTCCAAAACTTCTCTTCTCTTTTTTTCCTCCCTCTCTCCTCCGCGTGGAGTGGGAGCCTCAGACTTTCCACTTTACTACTTATCCCACTACAAGCCGGCCCTCCTCCGCTCCTCTCTCGTTGCTTGTTGCGTAAGGAAGTCCCTCCTGGCTTTGATTTCGTGCTTGTGGGCGCCGTTGGAGACATTTTTTTTCTCTCTTTTTGTGTGTTTTTGGATTTTGGTTTATTTGTTCTGGGTGTGTTATATATATTTTTTTGGGGGGGAGAGAGTTGTTTGCTTTGTTTGTTTTGATTGTTTCACTTATTTTTCTATTTTTGGTTGGGACTATATTTTTTTCTTGTCTCTGTCTCTGTTTCTCGTTCGTTATTTCTTTTTCGTGATTTTTCTCTATCTTTTCCTTTTTTGTATCTTTGTCTGTGTCGGATTCTCTCCTTTCTGTTATTCTCTCTCTCTCTCTCTCTTTTTTGTCTTCTCCCTTTCCTTTTTTCTTTTTCACATTATTGTTCTTACAATTCATATTCCGACCTTTTTTCCATTCACATAAATCTATTACAATTTCATTCTAATACCTGGACAGATCGACTGATAGACTGAGAGATAGACAGATACATACATAGATACATTTAAACAACACAGAAAGATAAGACAGATAGACAGACAGACAGATAGATAGACAGATAGACAAGATGGATAGATAACAGATATGCAAAAGATATATACGAATCACGCTTTCATTTAAATAGCTAGACACCGAAAGATAGACAGATAGATATCCAGGCATCCAGATAGATAGATATATAGACAGGTAGATAGATGACCATATAAACAGACAGATATGTAGATATACAGATACGAATCACACTTTCTCCATACTTTTCAACCCCCCCCCCCCACCTTCCTTCCCCCCGCCCGCCCACCCACCTCACCAAGCCTTCTGGGTTTCTTCAATATATTACCGTATTAATTATTCAAAGCAGTTTTCACAGCGGCGCCCACCGGCCTCCCGCCCACCGCCGTTAGGAGTGACGTGATCTCGTGAAATATCGCGAGAAAATCTAAACCGCAGATTAAAGGTCTTCATCGTCTGATCGATCGGCGCATTATGTTTATACGTCGCGTGGATCGGGTCGCCATTTGGGCTTATCAATCTAGTGCGACTCTGATTTTATTATGATGGTATTGGTATCTACTTATATGTCTATCTGTATATCTATCTCTTTGTCTATCTATCCATTTATCTATCTCTTTGTCTATCTATCCATTTATCTATCTCTTTGTCTATCTATCCATTTATCTATCTGTCTCTATCTGTTTATCTATCTGTGTCTGTCTGTCTGCTTCAGTCTATCTGTGTCTGCCTGCCTGTCTGTCTGTCTGTCTATCTATGTGCGTGTGTTCATAATTATACCCGAACAGTGATGTAGTCAAGCCTATATCTTTCATTACCTTCGACTCGTCTACAACACTCAGCCTTACTCTCATATCACACCCAAATCTCCTTCTAAACCCAACACAAACACACCGCCACCCATTAACAAAACAACCCTTATCCCCCCTAACCGTAAGAACAAAAACCAAAACAAAAAACAAACAAACCCACACACAACAACAACAAGAACAACACCAGCGAAGCCCCCCTGACCCTAATCAAAACCCCCATTGCGTCATCGGCTCCCCATTCACGTCTCAATTTACCCTTCCTTTATCGAGGCGGAGAGGCACGCGGGACGGCCGCCTGACATCCATCTCTGCGCCGCGTGATTTAGTTCCTTCCGACGGCGAAGGGTAATTTTCCGGCGCGAGGGGGCCACTTACAGCCATGGGAGGTTTCGGGAGCCGTGACCCCGTCTGTCTGTCTGTCTGGCTCTGCGTCGATTTGTTGGTGTGTCTGTGGGCCTCGAAGTTGATTTGGTTGTGTCTGTGTGCCTGTAGCTCCCGGAATTGATTTGGTTATGTGTATGTGGGGCTCGAAGTTGATTTGGTATGTGTCTGTGTGTCTGTAGGTCACGAGATTGATTTAGTTGTGTGTATGTGGGGCTCGAAGCTGATTTGTTTGTGTCTGTGGGCCTAGGAGTTGATTTGTCTATCTGTCTATGTTTTGTTTGTGTCTGTGTGTGATTTGAGGTGGAGAAAGAGAGAAAGACTGGCAGATGGATAGATTGATGGGCGGATAGATAGATACACAGATAAATAAAAATGAAGATAGATGACATGAGAAAAAAAAGATAAACAAAATACATCCCACTAACACACAGCAAACAATTTTCAAAAAAGGAAGACACATCCCCGAATAAATGCACAGAGAAGCGAAGGGGAAATAGCCCGGGTGATATGCGCGTGCATGCAAGACCGCAGTCGAGCACCCTTCCTCAGCCCCACAAGCTGGAGTGCGTAATAAAGACAGCATAGACCTCTGCCACTCCCTCAAGAGCTCTTCACTTCCACGTAACAACTCTTTCTCGCCAGCTCTTTGTCGTAGGCTCCGAGGAACGCTCCGGAGCTCTCGGTTGATGCGAAGAGTCCCCGAGGCATTGCTTTCGTGTGTGTGTGTGTTTTTTTTTTTTTTTTTTGGGGGGGGGTGTAGGGGGAAGAGGGTGGGAGAGGCTTGGGGAGGATTTGATTCAAGGTGGCATCGGAATTATGGAATGAATGTCTTGTCTCTTATCTACATTTTTACCTTTTCTTTCTTCTGTCTCTTTTCTCTCTCCC